TCTGTAAATGAAAAAAAAAAAAAAAAAAAAGACCAGTAACATAGTGACAACAGATGTAAGGAACCAAACAAATCACAGTTGCACACATGAGCATTTCTTCAGTTTCAGAAGTCACAGAGACCCAACATGAGTACAGCCCCCCATTTTCCCTTAATTGCCCATTAATACCAGCAATGAATGAAAAGCAGAAAGTAGAATATGGTAAATAAATCATAAAATAGATGTACATTAGTTTAAAACACTCAACAATGGTCAGTAGGGCTGTCAAAATGACTGAAAAACTAAATTCGAATTTTCTACTTAAATATGATCAAAATTCGAATTATATTCGAATTTAAAAGGCATAATTTCAGTTAGGGAAAAAAAGCTTTTGGCTTCTCTCCCGAGGCCACAAGAGAGCCCCGCTAGAAAATGTGATAAATATGCGTTCTGTGTGAACGGCTTGGTTTCAGTTTGGACATAAATAACATTTTCTCTACACTGATGCTCTCGTTTTCCGCAATATATTGAATGAACAACGTAGCAGCGCCGCATCTAGTGGGTTCAACTGGATAGGCTAACAAAAGCATTAAAATGCAATGACACTTACATCGTCATCGCATCTCGTGTGCCATTGATAAGGCTGCCTGACGGCTGACGCAGACCTAAAATTCGAATGCAACGTTTTTGCATTCGAATGTGGATTTTTTTTTTTTATTCGACGAATATTCGAAATTCAAATTTTTTTTTGACAGCCCTAATGGTCAGCAAGGATATTTACACAAGAACTTTTATTTATTTATTTATTTATTAAATTTGTCTGAATAACTCAAAATATCAAAATGGTGTAAGCTAAGATGTGACTCATATGGTAGCCAGATTTTTGGCTAATATGAGAAAATATACGATGACGCATGTGGAATGTGCTGTACTATCACAGTCAGCCAAGATACGATTTAAAATGCATGCTTATATGCACACTCACATACACATGCACTGACATTCATGAGTAGATAGACATTGTTACTCACCTCTAACAGATGGACGGCACCTTCATGTTCCCTCTTAGCCTCAACTTGAGCCTATAAACAACACAAAAATAATATATAACGGCATTAATACCAAGTCAGTCATGGTATACTTAATAAAAGTCACAGCAAAAAATATTTCTACACGATCCTTGTGTATAAACGTTCTATTCCCAAGTTTGGTTGAATAGGTTTTAGGCAACAAGGACTGCAGTGCATTGTAGGGTCATTCATTGTAACTCTCAGCAGCTGTGGAAAACAGCATTCAGTTCCACATGAACAGAGGAACATCTGTTTGAGTGTCAGCCTCTTCAGTATCACAACATGAGGGAACATTTCAGAAATATGCATGGAGATTCACCTTCAGAACAACAAAACTGGGTTCTTAATGTCTTGACTTCTTCTGATGAGCGTGTGTGTGTCATTTATTCTGTTTATTCTCCTCTGTAATCACAGTGCTCCATTCAATAAAGACAGACAATAACTCAAACGTTTCAGCGTGTGACAATGTTCACGCGTTCTGGAGAAAATGTCAGATTTGATCACCTGCTCTGCTGTTTCATTAGAGAGTAATTTACTCCAAGTGGTGAGACAGCGGCACTTTTCTCTTCATTCAAACGAGAAATGAGAGGAAAATTTCAGAGAGTTACCTACAATTGCTGAAACAGTTTTTAATTAAACATGTCTCTTCATTAGGAGCACTTTGACAGCTGGATTTTATTTTAGGGTGTTTCTTAAATTTCAAGCATTTTTCCTGTCAGAGGGGTTGATTTTTTTTTTTTTTTATTAAAACTTTTTTTTAATTATTATATGAAAGTCACATTACATTTTTACTATGCCTTCATCAATAATCTTTTGAAAATACCTTATGTGTAAAGTTTTGTTATTGTCCTAAAGCTAGACTTTCTATCTTAAATTATGAAAACCCATCAAAAAAATTATAATTACATGTTTAATATATAATTTAAACTAAGAATGTAATTTCAATATTTCTGTGATTTTTTTTTAATTCATCTGTTCCACACAACCAACAATTTTGGCCCTAATAAGGTTTGTCAAATGATGCAAAAAGTTGGACATTTTTATTTAATTGTATTTATTTAGCATACATATGATGCTATGAAATCATCCTTAGCAAAACAAAGTCATTTGTCAGTGTCATTTTAACAGTCATGTTAAAAAATAAATAAACATATTTCAGACAGTCAAATAAATTAAAATTCACATAGCCCCTAGTTAAAAAAATAGCTATGACCAGTCCAAAATCACCTGACAAAACCACCAGCTGATTAATCATCTAGACCAGCTTGTACCAACCTGAAACCATGTAAAACCATCTATCCCCAGAATCGGGATATGGCCCTAAAAAACGGGATATGGCCCTAAAGGTTGCAATTAAATCTAATGTAAGCAGAGATAGACATACTTTTATTATGTTACGAAATAGGGTAGTTAAAGAACTAAGAGTAGCTAAAGCTAACTTCTTTCTGAATATAATAGAAAAAGCAGGAGGCAATACTAAGTCTATTTGGAGTCAGTTAAAAATATTAATGGGACATAATTCTAAATCACTTGAACGCGTTGTTGATGGAAAACTTCAGAATAAACCAGCTGAAGTAGCTGATGTTCTTAATAATTATTTTGTTGATTCAGTAGAGAATATCATTAAGTATATTACTCCTGAGTATAAGAACACTTTTTGTCAAGTTAAACAGACAGAACCAGCTTTCAACATAGTATCTATCACTGAGTCAGATGTGATGAGAGTGATTAGATCCCTCAGGCCATCTCGAACTAAAAATGCCATTGGGATGAATACATGTACGTTGAAAGAGCTCTCAGAAATCAAGCGTAGCGTTAGTTCTGGCAGGTCACGTTAGTCGAGCTCGCATCAGCTGACTCTCAGCTGATCCCCATTTACCTATAGGAATACGACACCTATCTAAGCATTCATATATAAGGACCCTCAGTGTTATCAGCAGTTTTCGCATTGCTCAATAGCTAATTACCCTCCTCCATCCCCAACTCCTCCTTTGTCAGTCGGGATTCAGCCTCTGATTCTCCTTTGAATCAGACTAATTCTAAAATGTGTACATAAAATTATTGAACTTTAACAATATCTGCAATACATTTATGTTGGTTCTGTTCTGTTTACCCTGGGGGGTTATTGCTGCTCTCCCTGCTCTCATCCATGCTAGGCTGCATGGATGCGCAGGGAGTTCTTGCCCAGAACGGAACCATACCGCCAATCCAAACTGTATGCTAATTGTCAATCATATCTGATGATAGTGGTCCTGACAGAAGTATTAGTTAACCCGATTACAAAAATTGTAAATCTTTCATTTACTCATGGGATGTTCCCAAATGTGTGGAAATTAGCTGCTGTAATTCCCATATTTAAAGGAGGTAATCATCTATCCACCAACAACTACAGACTTGTTAGCATTTTGCCCGTGGTTTCCAAGGTGGCCGAAAAACTAGTTGCAGAAGAAATGATAAATCATTTAAATACCAGTGCTTATCCTTTACATCCACATCAGTTTGTTTTCCGTACTAATCACTCAACAGATACAGCCAATTGCCTTTGATACCATTAATCATGGAATTCTCTTATCTAAATTGAATGCATTTAATTTTTCTGTAGATACTATTAAATGGGTAGAATCATATTTAACACATCAGTCTCAGTTGGTTAGAGTGAAGAATCATCAATCAGGTGTTGTTTCATTGTCAGCAGGTGTCCCACAAGGTTCGATCTTGGGCCCACTTTTATTTTCATTGTATGTAAATGATTTGCCAAATGTTTGTCTCAATTCTAACATCCAGATGTATGCTGATGACACAGTAGTTTTTGTACATGCTAATAGTGCAGCTCAAGCTGCTGTTCAGTTAACAAACTCAATGTTTAAGATCACAGAATGGATAAAACATAATTGCTTACAACTAAATGTTTCGAAAACTGTATGTATGTTTTTCCGTAAATCTAAAAGTTGCCGTGTGGAGCCAGATGTAGTCATAGATGGGGAGAGACTACAAGTCATCTCAGATTTTAAATATCTGGGTGTATATATTGATAGCAATCTTACTTTTAGATTGCATATCAAGAATGTTTGCAATAACATTAAGTTCAACTTGGCAAATTTTAGATATGCCCATAGCTGCATGTCAACTAAGGCTGCAAAGATGTTTATGCATTCAATGATCTTCTCACATATCACCTATTGTTTGACAACCTGGTCACAAGCAAGTAATACTTCTCTCACACCAATTCTCTCTCTATATAAACAAACTTTGAAAGTTTTAGATAAGAAATCCATACACCATCATCATTGTGATATTTAAAAAAAATACAACATTTTAAGTTGGGAAAATTTGATTGTATATTCAGATCTTTGCCTTATGTATAAAATTAAACATGGACTGGCTCCTCCTGTATTGAGCCAGTTTGTAAACATAGCATCAAATGGTTACAGATTAACGAGAAGTGCAGTAAGAGGTGATTGCATAGTCCCTTTATTTAGTCAAAGACTGTTTTTGGTTAGGGCTGCTCATGAGTGGAACTCCATCCCAACTTACATTACAAATTTGAATACTTATACCTCTTTTAAGTTTCACTTAAAGAAGTGGTTAATTGAGAGTCAGTATTGCCAACATTAATTTTACAACTAAATTCTACTGCCTTCTTGTCTTGTCTGTGTTACTAGTTGAGATTTTTATGCTACATACATGAGGTTGTTTGGTTGATTACTGATTGAATGATTAATGCTACTGTTACTTGTCTGTATGCTTACATTGTCTTTGCCTGCATATTGATATTATGGATTTAGTGATACATTGGTTATTTTGTCTGACAGCTGGATTGTGTATGTGTTTGAGTGAGCTGGTATTGATCTGTTGGATCAAGGTATAGTATAATTTTTAAGCGGATGGTAATTTTTTTTAGGAATGGTGTAAATTTTATATGTATTTTGAAGCATGTATTTATTATGTATTGATTAATTGTTTTATATTTTTAGGGTGACAATTTTATGATCTGGGTAATTCTGGCACATTGTACATTTATGTATTATTGATGTGCATTGTCCCTGTTAAATAAACCTGAAAAATAAAAAAAATTAAAAATCTGGTCTTAATCAGAATCTGGTTTGTTTAAATAGACCAAAAGCCTTAAGTATGAAACAAGGTCTTCTACACTCTACAGCATGTGCATAAGCTCCATCCTAAGGTTTGGTGTGGATGGAAACCCTGATCTCTCACCTTCTGCAGAAGGTCAATCTCCTGCTGTTTGGCACTGAGGACGGCCAAGGCTTGTTCATGCTCTAATTCTAGCTGCTGCCTCCTCTCTGCAGCCTCTCGCATATGCTGGGAAAGAGAGAAGAGAGAGCAGGAGGTAAGAGGAAACTCAGCAAAGGATGAACACAGACAGAATGAGAGCAACCATCAATCAGGGATAGTTCATCCAAAATAGAAAACTCAGTTGTCATTTTCTCACCCTCGTGATGACTTACTTGCTTGAGAGGAACACAAAAGGAGATATTAAGAAGAATGTCCAAGCTGCTTTTTTTCCCCATGCAATTAAAGCGGATGGGATCAGGGACAGCTGCGGTAACCATTGACTTTCATTGTAAAACAGCAGCTTGGACATGATGTTAGATAACTATCTTTGTGTTGCATGCAAGAATGTAAAAGTATGGGTTTGGAACAGGGTCAGTAAATGATAACAAAATATTTGATTTTAGGTGAAATAATTCCTTTAAAATCTTTTTTAGGTCACACTGAAACACTTTTAGCTTTGGTTAAAGTCCCTGCACTGATATATAGACCCTCTTTTTATATCAGCTTATAAAAGATCATCAGTCTCCAGGAGCACCAGAGACAAAAATCCCTTCTAATCCTGGAATATCTGATGTAAACGCTAAGATTTCTTTCTTACCTGACCAAATCGACTCAGAATTAGGGGCCGTTCACACTGAACGCATTGCACTGCACTGCTTTTTAATTGTTTTTCTATGTAAACATGCACTTGACCACTGCGCTTATGCATTGTCCAGCAAATGACATCCATCTAAAACCTAAAAGAAGTTAAACTGTTTAAAACGTGTCTCTAGATGTTGTAGGTTTTTTTATTCCCCTGCCCCCGTCTCACATTTTTAAAAGTAAAATCGCATTATGTGTGAACGGCCCCTTACTGTGTTAACACCTTCAGAATACGGACACTTATTTGTCCTCTAATGAGCTAAAATGTTTTTTTAAGGGACAGTACATCCAAAGATGATTCTATAAAGTCATTTGAAACCCATATGTTGATTCTTTAAATGATTTTCAGTGAATTGAACTGAGTCAGGGTAGCACTATTTTTTATTTTTAAAAGGAATCAAATTTAGGCTGTAAGGGACAGTACAATGCATTCAAAGGATTGTTTAACAAATTATTGACTGTGCAACTTGAAGTAGACAAAAACTCTATAGAACCGTTTTTAAAGTTGTGAAAATTATTACCTTTATACAGTATTTATACAGTCATTGTAAAGACTGTAAGTCTATCCCTCACAGCCTTGTGTTAAATTCCATCTGTTCATTTCAAGTTATTGTATGACTTTAGGAGACTTGGAATGTAGACATAGTCACTACAGACTGTTGTTGCATGGTTTTGAGCTGCACTTCAGTAATTTTCCACTGGAAAAATAACAGCATATGGTTTTGAAATGACATGAAGGTGAGTAAATAATGAAAGAATCTTAATTTTGGGGTGAACTTTCCCTTTAAGCACTGAAAACAACAGCAAAATGTTGTAAATCAAGCTTGTGTCATTTGCTTCACCCCTTCAGGTAAAGCAAAAACAGAAGTGAAGCATCATGTCAATCAGCCAGACTAAGCACAGCCACGGAGCTTCGCATGATCAATAAAGGGCTTAAGGGTCACGGCTCTGTACATGAAAGGGTGTGTGCAAACAACACAGCATGTTCGATCAGCGCCGATTACTGCCCAACAACATCCCCAGAAGCTCTTCTGACCTGTTAAAAGTACACGGTGACAAAACCTAGCAATTTTCTTTCCATTTGTGACATGTGAGGTTACAGGGGATAAAGGGAAAGGAGGGATTTTCCATGCTGCTATGAAAGAGGAGTGCAGGGAAGAGGAAGGTTAGAATAATCTAACCTTCAGAGGACAAATAAACTGTACTGTGTGTGAAATATATTATGGTTATCTGATCTATTTATGTATTTCTCAGTACTTATTTACTAAAGTACTTATTTATTAAATAACTTAATCATTTTAACATATATAAATATTTTGTCAATTGATTTATTTACTTATTTATTCATTCAGTAATTCATTCATTTGTGACTTATGTTTTAAGTTAAATATTTAATGGAAAATGGTCCAGTCATAACTGCACAACAAAAAAAAAACCTTCAAGATCATATAATGATCACCCTGTTGCAGTTTATTTTGCAATAATAAATCATCTGCATACAAACTAGACAATATGACCACAGAATAAAAATGAAACATCTAAACCACTAAAATAATGTGATACTACCAGTTTACTTTTTTTTTTTTTTAAACAAAGACTGATAGTTTCAACATATTTCACACTTTGTACATTCAGCAAAACTGTCACCTCATAACTGAAATAAAAAAAAAACAGTATATTTTAAGAATATTAACAGCATGTATATCTCACATTCAAAAGAAGAGCTGAGTTAGTTTTTGTGAGGGGAGGGTGTAATTGTGCATAACTGTTGTGTCATGCACAAATGCATTCAGCAGTGCCTCAGCCGGCCGACCATTCAGATCACATACAGCATCCAGATCAGCTGTTAGTACTCAGTCAAAAGGTCCACATTCAGTTAGTGCTGGCTTCTGTAAAGTCTTTAGATATACCTGATGAATGAAAAATATGGAGGGAGGCAGGGAGAGGGGAGGGGCAGGAGAGGGTTAGACGTTAGGGGAGGGGTAGGGCGCTCCAGGACTCCTAGTCGATCACAGATCCACACTTTGAGGGTGCACGACAGCTCTAAAACCATAAAAGAGTACAAGGCGAGTAAAAGAGGTGAAAACACAGATGAAAGTGGAGGTCATGATATAAATCGTTATACATTGCCAGCCGGATTTCCTGAAACATCTGTCATGAGCTTGGATACTGGCATAGTTCACACTAAGATAAAGGACTAACATTTTCACTTTGCCATCACACATTTTGACTCAGTCAACATGAAAGCTAATCAGGCAACCAGTCAAGAACATTTCCAGATCGTAATTTCTACTTTATTTTGTACTCCAAATTGATTAAAAAAAAAAACTTGTGATTTTAGGTTGGAATGACTTGATATGGTGAATCTCACAAAATATAATATATCACCCAAGAATATAAAGAAAAAATATTATTATATTTTCCATAATGAAAATGAAGCCTATTTTATGGCCATAAAGAGATTTTACATAAATAGTTGTGACATTATTTTTTATGACTATTACGCACAGATTAAATTCTTATTACAGTAATGTAAAAAAGGTCATTTTCAATACTGTAATTATTTATTAATTATTAATTATTTAGTTGTATTATTAAGGAAATATTTACACATCACTGTATAAAAGTATTTGTTGTAAAGCTGTAATTTACAGTGCCTTGCAAAAGTATTCAAATTTTTTCACGTTATGTTATGTTCCTGCCTTATGTAAAACTGCTTTAAATTACTTTTTTTCCCATATCAATCTACACTCCATAAACCATATAGACAAAGCAAATACAGAAATGTCACAACCTCGTAAAATTGAAAATTGAAAACTGAAATAAGTACATTACATAAGTATTCATACCCTTAACTAAATATTTAGCTGAAACACCTTTACAGCCTCCAGTCTTTTTTGTTTGATGTGACAAGATTTGCTCATCTGCATTTGGCAATTATTTGCCATTCTTCTCCTCACCTCTTCACCTCTCAAGCTCTGTCAGGTTGGATGGGGGCAGATGCACATTTTCAGGTTTCTCCAGAAATATTTGATTGGGTTCAAGCTCAGGCTCGGCTCCAGAGAATCTTGTTTCTCACAGTCTGAGGGTCCTTTAGGTGCTTTTTTGCAAATTTCAAGTGTGTTTTCATGTGCCTTCACTGAAGAGAGGATTGAGTTTGGCCACACCGCCATAAAGCCCGGATCGGTGGAGTGTTGCAGTGATGTTTGTCCTTCTGTAGGTTTCTCCTTTCTCCACATATGATCATGGAGCCCAACTAGAGTGACCATCAGGTTGTTGGTCACCACTCTAACCAAAGCCCTTCTCCATCAGTTGCTCAGTTTGTCCAGGAGGCCAGCTCTAGGAAGAGTTCCGGTTGTTTCAAACTTCTTCAATTAAGGGTAACACAGACTACATGCTTCTGTGACCATTGAATGCTCCTGAGCTAAATTTCAACTGTCCCATATAAAGGTATGAATACTTATGCAATGGAATCATTTAAGTTTTTTGTTTTTAATAAATTTGCAAATATGTTAAAAAACTGGTTTTTGCTTTACCATTATGGTGTATGGAGTGTAGATTGATG